CTTTGGAAATGGAACAAGACAAGGATGCCCACTCACCACTACTATTTAACATAGTACTAGATGTCCTTGCCAGAGCAATCAGGAAAAAGAAAGAAATAAAATGCAACCAAATAGGAAAAGAAGAAGTTATACCCTCTCCATGAATATGATTCTATAAGAGGTTATACCCTTTCCATGGATGCAATGATTCCAAAGTCTCTGTGAAAGGGCTGTGAGAACTGATAAACAATTTCAGTGAAATTTCAGAGCACAAAATCAACATACAAAAATTAGTAGCATTTCTATACACAAATAATGTTCAAGCTTAGAGCCAAATCAAGAACACAACCCCATTTATAATAGCCGCAAAAAAATAAAGTGCTTACCGATATACCTTACCAAGGAGATAAAAGATCTCTGCAAGGAGAACTACAGAACACTACTCAAAGAAATCAGAGAATCTGAGCAAATGGAAAACATTCCATGCTCATGAGTAAAACACATTAATAGTATTAAAATATCTATAATGCAAAATTAATCTACAGATTCAATGCTTTCCTATAAAACTATCAATGTCATTTTTTAAAGAATTAGAAAAAACATTTTAAAATTCATGTGATGCTGGAGAAGATGTGGAGAAATAGCAAAACTTTTACACTGTCGGTCAGAATGTAAATTAGTGCAACCATTGTGGAAGACAGTATGGTGATTCCTCAAGGACCTAGAAATAGAAATTCCATTTGACCCAGCAATCCCATTACTGGGTATATACCCAAAGGATTATATATATGTATACACACACACACACACATACACACTGCTGATGGGAATGAAAATCAGTTTAAGTCACTGTGGAAAGCATTTGGAGTTTTCTTAGAGAACTTGAAAAGAACTACCATTTGATCCAGCAATACTGTTTTGGGGTGTATATCCATAAGAAAATTAATCATTCTATCAAAAAGACACATGCACTGATACGTTCATTGCAGCACTATTTACAATAGTAAAGACACAGAATAAACTTAAATGCCCGTCATGATTGACTGGATAAAGAAAACCTAGTACAAATATACTATGCGATACTATGCAGCCATGAAAAATAATAAAAGTATGTCTTTAACAGCAACATAGATGCAGCTGGAGGCCATTATCCTAAGCAAAGTAATGCAGAAACAGAAAACCAAATACCACATGTTACACTTATAAATGATAGCTTAATATTAGGTACTTATGGACAAAAAAAGATGTCAACAATAGACACTGGGGACTAGCAGAGAGGGAGGGAGAGAGAGGGATAAATGTTGAAAACCTAACTATTAGATACTATGCTCACTACCTGAGTGATGGTATCATTCATATTCCAAACCTCAGCACCACACAATATACCTGTAACAAACCTGCACATGTACTCCATGTATCTAAAATAAATTTGAAATTATATATTTAAAGAAAAGAATCTAGTTCTGGACAGAGAAGGAAGGTGATATTTGGGATGACATCAGAACTGTGTGTTGAAGGATAAATAGGAATTTTTCAAGTGTGTAAAACTAAAGAAAAACAATAGAGGGAGAAAGACTAGCGTGCATAAAGAGTTAGAAGTATCAAAATGTAAGGCTGCAATTCTGAGCAGCTTCCTATAACTTAACTAGGTATCCTGGGATAAGAGGTGAGGATAAAAAGGTAGATAGAAACCAAATCATAAAGATCCACAAGACACAACAGGTCATATGACATAAGATAGTCATTTAGCTTTTATTTGGTGAGATGCAGGAATCTACTGAAGGTTTTACAAAGTGGAATTTGGGAAAGTAGTAGGTAAGGAGATAAAGTAGAATTGAAAAGCTGAAATAGCTGTAAAAAGAGAGTAGGAGGAAACATATTCATGATGAAAGTATACTCTCACATTCTCTACCACAAGAAAGTTGGCAGAATTGTGCATCAAAGTTCCAGCTGTAACAATGGAACAAAACTTTGATTAGTCAGCATCTCCTCTCTTACAATGTTACCAGATCATCTTGGTATTTTGCGCTGACAATTGTTTTCTGTAACTGACACAAGCTGTAAATTCTGATGCACAATGACCTCACTGTGATCTTGTTTAAAACTTTCAACTGAACTGTAGCATGCATTGCCAGAGCAAATCTCCTTAAAGTTTAGCAAAGGACAAATAACACACACATGCTAAAAGTTTTGTTCTAAAAGCTGGTGAAGCAAGAACTCTTTAGGCCATCCATCTTTCTATGATGGGACCAAGTGTCTCATTCCAAAGATTGTTCCCAGCAAACATGCTTTATATTGGTCATGAGAATGAAAGCTTAGATAGAACTCCAAGAAAATGACAATTTTATTTCTTCATTTCTTCTTTATTGAACACCAAAAAGATATTGCAAATAGTCACTGAGATCTAGGCTGTCACAGCACCTATACTACAAAAACAAAGTACTTTTCAATACTGTTCTTTTCAGAGTAAATAGAAATAGCACCTTATTTCGTTTGCTGAGATTTTGCCCATTGATTGTCAGTTTTGTATCAAAAGAAAAATACTCTTTATATTGCATTGAAATAATCAAGAGAGCTAAACAGACACTACAGTACATTTTCCACTGTAAAATAATCCAGAGGGAATTATGCGGTAAATCAAATGCTTTACTATTGTGGTACACACAATAACCTAAGAATTTATCTTTTCTTTGTTTCTTTTTTTTTTTCCCAGCAATCTATCCCAACTTAAATGCATTCTTTTCTAACATAGTTTCCAAATCACATGCTTAGGTTTTATTTACACACTAGCTATATCTGACTAAATGGCAAATTTTCAATTGGAGGCAAAAACTAAGTTTAAAATGCTGTTAAACTTTATTTTTTCTATTTGAAAATAAGGAAAGAAATCATGGAATAATGTGAAATTAATGAAGTCAATGTGATGTTTTAATTTAAGCTGCTCCAGCAGATGTTTGGATAAAATAAAAAAAACATTCAATCTATAAAAGCAAAAATATTGTTTATGTACATGTAAAAATGAAAATGAATTATGTTTATGTTTCATAGGTTAGATAACAAAAACTTTTTTTCTACGTTGATATTTGCAATTCTAAAAATCTATAGCTGAAGCAAAACAGAAAATTATTTTTGTAGTTCAAGATTCCCAGCTTAATTCTGGAGAACTAATTAATAGATACTTCCTCATCAAGCTCACTCAATACTGAGCAATTTTGATGCTCTGAAAACGATCGTGTGCATGTGTGTGTGTGTGTGTTCATTTCTCAACATTACGCACTTCTCTGAGCTGCTGTTAATCGTCATCTATTCAACATGTTTTTACCAAATGTTTACTACAAGTTACACTAGGTTCTTGTGCTCAAACAAACCTAGTTCTATGCACAGAATATCTAGTGAAGAATGTTTGTATTAGAAACCACTACCACCAACGTTAGTACATGGGACAGCTTCATTCTCACATTGCCTAGGCCTTAAGTATTCTGATATATTTTTATATATATTTTCTTTAGAGATTAATAATAGTGGTTTCACAGAAAACAAGTTACTACTATTATTCAACAAATTCTAACACAATTTTACACAACAATAACAACAAATTTGTTGTTTATATAACATTAAAGTGATTTAGTGGGGTTATATCCTTTCCATCTAAACAGTGTTAGGTGTTATATAGTATGCAGAGATGAGCTCCACTGACTGCTCTTAACACGATGCATTATTATTGGAATTCAGGCTATAAAGAGAAGGAAAATGAAAAATTTTGTGCTTTTTTCTATTTTCAAGCAAGAGATTTTAGAAACACAGAGGAACAATTCTCCTTCTATTGACAGAGTACGGTTAACAAAAAGGTTCTATAGAATTGCACCTTGAAAAATGGATAAGTGATTATGTAAGAGCTAGAAGGGAAACCCATGATAGGCTGAATAAATAAAGTTAGTACAGGCATGGAGATTGGATGAGAAAAAGACTGCACTAAGAAAATACAACCACAATAACACTAGAAGTTGTGTCTAAATGGAGGAAGCCACAAGAGAGATTCAGAATGTCATTGAATATAATTTAAAATAAATAATAGTGTGTTAGGCAGAAAATATATGAAAAAATTCAAGATTCCTTTAACTCCAAAGATGTTTAGACCTTGGTAGGAATTATATTTACCTTTAGATCCAAAGTATAAAATTCAATCAAGTAAATAGAAGTAGACTAGATGAAGTTTGTAGCCTTTTGTTAATTAGAAGTAAGAATTGAGTAACCTAAGTTTGAATCTAAGCTGGATGATGTGACTACCTCCATTTTTGGTGGTCTTCTTCAAATTATGGAGTCACTGATATGGCACCTCTATGTAGGGCTCAGTACATTGTATCAGCATTAAATCCAAAAATTCAATCACATATAAGCTGCCACTTTCAGTCATTTAGTAAGCCATACAAACTGAGAAGGCAAACTCACATGAAAAGTACATTAATTATCTATTGTTACATAAACAAATGACCTCAAACTTTAGCAGCTTAAAATACCCTTTATTATTTCAATCAATTTCTTAGGACAGGAAACAGAGTAGCTTAATTCTTGCTCAGTCTTAGGAGGATGCAATCAAGCCATTGACTGGAACTCAGTCATCTGGAGACTCAACCAGCACTAGATCTAATGTTATTATCACTCGCCGGGATATTGGCAAGACTCAGTTCCTCATTGGCTATTCACTAAAGCTCTCAATTCCTCACTATAATGGGTTCTTTGCAGCGCTAAGTTTCCTCATCACAAAGCAGCCAGCTTCTCCCACCGTGAGTAATCCAAGAGCAAAATAATAAGGTGTAGATTTTAAGTGTGTTAACGTTTAGGCATATTTGGGCTTATTAATGTAAGTTATTTTGAGAATTCCAACTAAAATATATAATTGACTAATACAAATGTGCGGTTTTAAAAAGAAATTTCAACAAGCATTATATTAGATTGGATCATTTCAGAATAAATATATTAGTATATTAGTTATTAAATTTATGGCAGTGTTTTGTTCTTAGTCAATTTATATAGGCCCACCTGTAGATCCAGATGAAGATTCTGACAACAGTGCAATTTATGTACAAGGATTAAATGATAATGTGACTCTAGATGATCTGGCAGACTTCTTTAAGCAGTGTGGGGTTGTTAAGATGAACAAGAGAACTGGGCAACCCATGATCCACATCTACCTGGACAAGGAAACAGGAAAGCCCAAAGGCGATGCCACAGTATCCTATGAAGACCCACCTACTGCCAAGGCTGCCGTGCAGTGGTTTGACGGTAAAGACTTTCAAGGGAGCAAACTTAAAGTCTCTCTTGCTCTGAAGAAGCCTCCAATGAACAGTATGCGAGGCGGTATGCTACCCCGTGAGGGCAGAGGGATGCCACCACCACTCCGTGGAGGTCCAGGAGGCCCAGGAGGTCCTGGGGGACCCATGGGTCGCATGGGAGGCCGTGGAGGAGATAGAGGAGGCTTCCCTCCCAGAGGACCCCGGGGTTCCCGAGGGAACCCCTCCGAGGAAACGTCCAGCACCAAGCTGGAGACTGGCAGTGTCCCAGTCCGGATTGTGGAAACCAGAACTTCGCCTGGAGAACAGAGTGCAACCAGTGTAAGGCCCCAAAGCCTGAAGGCTTCCTCCCGCCACCCTTCCCGCCCCCGGGTGGTGATCGTGGCAGAGGTGGCCCTGGTGGCATGCGGGGAGGAAGAGGTGGCCTCATGGATCGTGGTGGTCCCGGTGGAATGTTCAGAGGTGGCCGTGGAGGAGACAGAGGTGGCTTCCGTGGTGGCCGGGGCATGGACCGAGGTGGCTTTGGTGGAGGAAGACGAGGTGGCCCTGGGGGCCCCCCTGGACCTTTGATGGAACAGATGGGAGGAAGAAGAGGAGGGCGTGGAGGACTTGGAAAAATGGATAAAGGCGAGCACCGTCAGGAGCGCAGAGATCGGCCCTATTAGACGCAGAGACCCCGCAGAGCTGCATTGACTACCAGATTTATTTTTTAAACCAGAAAATGTTTTAAATTTATAATTCCATATTTATAATGTTGGTCACAACATTATGATTATTCCTTGTCTGTACTTTAGTATTTTTCACCATTTGTGAAGAAACATTAAAACAAGTTAAATGGTAGTGTGCGGAGTTTTTTTTTTTTCCTTCTTTTAAAAATGGTTGTTTAAGACTTAACAATGGGAATCCCTTGTGAGCATGCTCAGTATCATTGTGGAGAACCAAGAGGGCCTCTAACTGTAACAATGTTCATGGTTGTGATTTTTTTTTTTTTAATAAAATTCCAAATGTTTATAAACAGTCAAAAAAATTACATATAAAAATATATGAATGCAGTTTAAAATATTTGAAATTGTGATTTGAATTAATAAATAATAAATAAGCTTACTAAAAGTGTTTGTCAAAATTTATCATGTCTGTAAGTAGACTATTCCAATTTTTAACCTAAATTGAGAAGCTTAAGGGAGAAATTAGATTTTAATGTGTAAGTTTAATAAATCAAATAAACACATGATATATTAACTTTCTGATTTCATATTTTAAAATAATTTCAACACAAAAAGACTAGCATGAATACTATGAAGGGCTCACATGGACTCTTTATCCGGATTCCACAATTTTGTAACATGTTCTATATTTGCCTTATAAACATTCTCCCTCCTAATGTGAGATCATATCTAGGAACAGGTCATGTGTTGCATTTAGTTGTCTCTTTACACATAGCATATATGTGCATCTATATGTGTGTGTAATGTGAGTTCACATCTAAAACCTGTGCTTTTAATCTAATACTATAGGCTTTTTAAAATTCCTTCCTCTTTCCATATCTGTTTGTCCCCACTCTAACAGTGAGAAATCTAGTTCCCATTATACTCAATATATCAACTTATTTTCAGAGTACTCAAAAACGTAACCAAAATCCTTACCAGGCAGGCCAGCACCTCCTAAACTTTCTGCAGAATTTGTGCAGATGAATACCTTCTGACTAACCACTGCCTCATCTTGTCATCTCATTGAGGTTGTGCAGGCCATGTAAGACCTGTCACCATTCCAAGTGATATATTAGTTGTTAAAATGATATAATACTTTGTGGAATTTGTGAAATAAAAATTTCGAATGCATTCCTTTATTTTAATAAGAAGTGCTCAATGTATAAATTTTATACAAGCCTCATCTAAGAAACCTTGGCCAACATGGTTCTTTCTGTTGTAAAACAGGCCTTAACACAGTATGGAATTAAAATTCCGTCAGCACATCTAATTGTCTGGAAAACTATGGTTAATAAGGAAATGGGGCAACCACTTATTTAACATCTCTTGGGCTCAGATTACTCTAAACCTGTAAATTGGAGACAACTGTTTTGAAATCAGTTGTTGAATTAACAGAGGTATGTGCTGAGGGAAGTAAGTGCTGCCTTCATAATAAATTAAAACAGGAAAATGAGACATCAAGTAGTTTTGATGTCACTACCTCTGCTTCGACCAGAGCAGCACTTACCAGTCTATTTTATATATTGGACTTTTATTTTGCTAGAGTCCCATGCTAGAGTTAAGTGGTAGGAAACCACTAGCCTAGCACTACCATTCACTCTATGCATTATTAGAGAGTTCCATTTAAAGCCCTTCATTTATTCATTAAATCTGCTCTGTTGTGCCTAGCAATGAGCTAAAAGAGCTTTAGGAGGAAAAAAAGTAGAAAAGCATGCATTGACTAGGAATTGTTACATAAATTAGAATACCTACTCCACAGCTTAATTTTGAAAACTTAAAGATTATGTATGTTGCATCCAGCACAAGGAAGTTTAGAGTAGGCAATCGATAAATGTAATTATTTTCTTCTTTTTCTAGCACATTGGTGAGCATCTAGTGGATTCTTAATAGGTATTTGTTAAGATGAATTACATCTCACATTTTACCACTTAATACTTACCTGTCTTGATTTCAGACAGCTTTTGTTGAAGATTTACAACCAATTCATTTTGACCAGTATTTCTGAACAAGTTACCTGAATTATAATTTGCTTATAGCTAGTTCTTTGTAGTAGTAGGAGTGGGAAAGAATAAGAAGCTATCCAGAAAATTTGAAGTTAAAGTTAAACATTGAGAATGACGTTAGGGAAAATCGACATATAATAAATGAAATGCAGCATCTATTAAATAATTCACCTTAAATGATATTAGTAGCTAGGATATATTCAGCATTTTCTCTATGCCAGTATTTAGCAAAGCCTTTTACAAACAATTTCATGAAACAGACACTGTCATCAGTCTTATTTTGCAAAAATAATTTGTCCTAGATTGCACAACTAGGAGTGACTGGATTCCAATCCTGACATTGTGATTTCAACTTGCACACTTAACTAATTAACCTAGCATATGATAATCTGTGAACAGAAGTTTGATTTCAAAAAAATTGTTAAAAGTATTAAACATTTATTAAGCTACTATGGTGTGCCAAATACTGCAGTAAGTACTAGAGATATAGCAGTGGAATATACATTGCCTCTTCCCTAGTAAGATGAGCTGGGAAACATAAACACAAAAATAACAAAATTTTGATCATAAAAAATGAATATATTGACATATGTAATCAACAGTGTTGTCAGTTGCATTATACTTAGCTCCAACAAAGAACTTCTTAATAAAAGCAGGATGGTATGTAAGACAATTACAAAAGGGAAAGTTTAAGAGAAACACCTTTTCAGTTCATCATGAACCTTTTCTAGGAGAGACAACATAACCAAGGAGGTTTCCTGGGCAGGTATCTCTGAAATTGAATGAGTACTAGACTATCAGATCTCAGTGACATTAACCATCAAAAATGCATAATACCATTGATTTTCCAGTTATAAATTATTAAAGGAGCATACTAATTCATGCATTATGCAGGCTTTTTAGAGTTTACTTTGAACAAACCCACTATAGCTTAGTCAGTTTTTGGTGAACTAAACAACAAATAAATAAGCTTTTTATTATGCAAAGACAGAGAACAGACTGAAATACAGTATATCTGCAGCGTACCTAGCACTCTGTAGCAGGAGGCATTTTCTGGGTAACCAGTTGGCTTCAGGAAATACTGGCTCTCTCTCCTCTTGTCTTGCTGATCTCTTATTGTAATGCGTTCTCTTCTTCATTAATTTCCCTTCTCCAAAATGTTAGGCATATTTTCTTCCTTGGTATCACCAGTCAAATCAGTAATTCTGGCTGTTCTCACTAACTTCTGCTCATTTAACTTTTCACCAGCACCTTCATTAAGTACATTACAAACAAGTTTACTTAAGCCGGTGCACAGGTACACATACACACACACACAGACACACATACACACACACACACACCCTTCTGCTTGATTCTCACATTTTAATAATAACACTTCTTATTAAGCAATCTTAAACTGTAGTGCAGACTCCCAAACAAATTCACATTGATTATAAACTAATAAGGGGACATGTTGGAACTTTATCACAAAGACTAAGCTTCTCCTTTCACTACCTTATAGAAAGCAAAGAGAAAAAATACCAAACTTTTCAAAATTCACTCTATAACCTTATGTCTTTGGCTAATATTTTCAAAGCATTCATCAAGACCAGCAGTGCTCAGAGAGAACTATTCATGCCCTACTAATGGGCTAGGCTTTTATTTAAATCGAGGCTAGAACATACTAATGGCATTGCACAGACCCGCTGATTGCCTTGGGATAAAATAATCCAGTTTAACATCAACAAAATAAACACCCTTTTACAGCACTGCTTGAACTCAATATTCACTCTAAAGTATATAATTCAGTGTTCTCTCTTATGAAGTATAGTTGCTCTTGCAAATTTTTGAAATGCAAAGTTTTGTCTTCAATTCTGTTTATTCGGATGTCCATATTGTTGGACTTTTAATCTCTTCAGAGCACTTGTATTCAACTTTGTAAAGAAATGCTCTTATTACTTGTCAAATTTTCAATAATGGATTATTAAGGTAATAAAACTGTTCATGTAAACACCAGGATTTTTTTATGTTACTTCCTGGAAAGCAACTTTATACTAAAGAAAACAGGAAGAAAATTGATTAATCTCTTTCAATTATCATCAAAGTCACAGAAATAATTAAGCACATTGACAAATACAATGCTTTTTTATTTCCTTATACACTATATATGTGTACTCCTAATTCAGAGAAGTATGTGGGATGAGGTGGTTGTTCAAATGGACTGACATTCTTATAAACAAGCTAACATATAGGTCTTTAAACTATTAGAATAGAGGAAAATTAGATTGCCATTAGATTAAAATTAGTTCTATTAGTATTAATAAACATTAATATAAGTGTGCAAAATATAATTAACCCTCCTCGCCCTAGTATTGAAATGCATGTCCATTTGGATAAGAATTGGTGTTAATGCTAAAGTTTGAGAATAACATTGACTGTTCTTCTGAAGTTAATTTAATTTAGTCATGGACAGAATCACGGATTCTTATGATACTTGACCTATGATATCAAAAACTTTGAAAAGAAACCCAGGTATGAAAAAACAAACCTGCTCAAAATTTTCAAGTAGAGCATAACTACAAGGATCCCAATTTACTCATTTTTCTACATGAAAGAAAACTGTCCTGAGGAAAAAATATATGTTCTCATTTTAACACTTCTGAAAATAACACCGTTGTTCTCGATGGAAAGCTAATTTTGAATTGTAATGGCAATTACTAAAGTGAACTAGAAAAAGAAATATGGATAACATAGTTTCCATGGTTACAACAACTTGTGTTGTCTGACTGAGGTTCCCAAATGTAGGTTTTGTAACCAGCTATACCGGAACCACCTGAAGTACTTGCTAAAAACACCAATTCCTGAGTTCTATTTATTAAAACAGAACCCAAAGTACTGTTCAAAAGCTCTACAGGTAATTATCATCTTCACCAAGTTTTCAGCATGATTGAGCAAATTCCAACATTTCTTTCCTTCATTTGCCCAACTGTAAAGTACTAATAAAGGGAATAATTACTAATAAATATTCTAGAGTCAGTAGAAATCAAGTGAGATTACATATAAAATTAATGATTATAACTGAAATACTGAACAGAAGCCTACATCCATACATCCATAGCACAATCATTGTAAAAGGGCAGGATGTAAAACTATGCTAATTGTAGGATTACTTTGTGAGGATGGGAAAGGGGTTTCCTTTTGGAAAGCATCTATGTCCCTTGGTTACTTCTAGGAAAAATTTGGTCTGGAAAAAAGAGCCAGCAAGAAACAAAGTTTTGAGAGAAAAGAGACATGGGGAAAATGACTTGATCTCTTCCAATATG